AGTAGGTGACGTAATATTATGCAGGTCTGGCTCTGGCCCCTATGTACGGAAGCCTTTTAGGGCCATTTTCTTTTTCTTGAAATTTGAAGATGATAACTTGAAATTTGAAGATACTAAGTTGAAATTTCAAGATACATACTAAGTTGAAATTTCAAGATAATCATCTTGAAATTTCAAGTTATTATCTTGAAATTTCAACTAAGTATCTTCAAATTCCAACTTAGTAACTTGAAATTGCAGGATAGTATCGAAAAAAAATGGTCCTCAAAGGCTTCCGTACCTAAGGACCCCCTGAGGGCCTTTTAGAGGGTTTTTAGGAGAATAATGGAGTCTTAAAATAACAATAGATCAAAGGGACCTCGGAAATGTGATACTACAATATAATTAAATACAATACAAATTGGTGCATTGTTGTCTCACCATTTGTACATAAAGAAGATAAAAGTCAACGGAGCATGATACATTAAAACACCTAAACGGGTTATGACAGAGAGTTATATCAAGAAAAATTCTTGATAAAAACATTAATATTACATACACATAAGGTATAAAATATATGAGTATATATACACAACTTAGCGTTATATACACCATAGAGAAGGAACAAGTAAAGGAAATAAAATAAATAAATACATTTAAAAAAAATTAAATATATAAATTATGAATGTTGGAATAGTTTCTGCGGGTGAACATTTTAAAGCACATTCTACCTGATGAAGAGGCAAGGGTATTATCGTAAAGCAATATATTCAAGTTGGTGGCAGAGCAATCATTGAATAAGGGTTATAACAAGAACATTTGCTTTTATTCGTTTCAATCTACAACTTGAGGGAGCCACATCTCAATGTGAGTGAGTGAGTTGGGTTTAACGCCGCTTTTAACATTATTCCAGTTATATCACGGCGTGTCAGCTTAATGTGGGAGGAAAGCCCGAAGTCTCAGGCCTCAGATGTTTACTACTTCGGTGAAACCCACGAGCAGGCGTATGGTGCTGACGAACCTAGAAAAATAATCGGGGCGAACCGGAATTCGAACCCACAATCATAGGTTTCTGGCGTGCCCAAGGGACGCAACTCTGCACAGCGAAACGCCAACTCGTGTTATTCAGGTTACGGAAAGGGGCAAGTGGTGACGAATGAGCGAATCGCGGCGCCTTCGACGACTGGGCCACCCGTGCCCCCTTCAGAAGAAAGAACAGTTTGACAAAGAGCAGGCAGGCCATTGCATAATATGAACTTAAAATCTAAAAATCCAAAATATTCAGTACATGCACTGCTTGTTTTCATTGCATCGCTAATCAGTACTAGTGTATGAATAACCACAGGGACTAGAAAACAACGCTGGTTTTGTTAAGTTAATTAAAAGGGTAGATATATGTTAAACACTAATTAGATAAATGTCCATGTAACAACACAGGAAGCTGCGGTGACTAATAGAAAACAACGCTGGTTTGGTTAAGTTCATTATAAGTGTAGATATGCGTTAAACACTAATTAGATAAATGTTCATGTGACGACACAGGGAGCTGTGATGACTGATATTTAAGTATTTTCTTACCTTATCGCGAACATCTGCTAATTTAATGTAGCGGCCATAACGCCTTGTCCACATGACCAAAGAGGTTAACCCCGTCAGCAAGATGACAAGGTAAGGATGTCATCTGTGGGACGACTCCACGCCCTGCTACACTAACATCATTATTTGACAGTGATTCATAAACATGTACTCGTGATATACATGTAGTTGGAATCGCATGATAGACTCTGCTTTTAGCAGAGTTTTTTTATGATTCTAGACGCTTTAATTTCATAACCTCAAACATACGATTTAAGTCATAACATTGAATAAGGAATCTTAATTTAACTCACAGATGTTCTCGATTAAGCAGCTAGTGGTGTTTCTTTTATTAAAATAATAAACTAATGTATTCTCAATGTGGATATATAACTCAGACTGTACTTATCCTCAAGATTTGGGTTACATGTAGACCCTAACGCTCTTCTCCGAGAACTATTATGTTTTTTCATCGTTAACCTACTGCTTTAGGTATACGCAAACAGGTATACGCAAACAGGTTCAGTCATAAAGTGCCTACATCCCAATTTGCCTACAAAAATTACTGTAGGCACATGGGGACCTCGGTTTCATCCCTATTCATGTAAATGGACTGAGCCACTATTGTTTGACTTCTTTTTGCTGAGAGATAAGCGTCAGGATGAATATTCACATAATGCAAATCGTTCTTCGTATGTTATATACTCCGTTCACATGCGCCTCTATGCATATGTGTGTATATGTTCATACGTGTGTAGGAATACATACGAAAGTATACTTGTCATGTCAACGCATCTACTCATGTGTGTATATTTACACCAGGGGCAAATTTGCATCATGTCTGGAGCAGGTGCAAATGTAAATGTAAATTTGCACTGTGTGTATATGTTCCAATGTGAACGTTTATGTCAACGTAAGAGGATGATCTGATTAATATCTGTTCTTTTGCCAACACCCAAAAAATTGTCAACACTTGCCAACTTTTAACCGTATATACAGCGTTGAGCGGACGGTGTTTTCTTTTGGTTTCAAGGAGTCAAAACTTTGTGTACAAATGAAATGAAAATGAACACATGTTGCTTCACGCGAACATTTTCGGTGAAGTAACTCTCTTCTTATTCAACTTTGATTGGAAAACAACCTGCTTCGTGTTGAATGTCGTGAACAGACTGACGAATATGTGTGCCTTACACAATTTACATACTTTATTTACACACCTAAGATGCTTTTCATGTGAACGCATAGTAAATTTACATATACGCACTTATGTATAGTTACACTTGTGTAAAATTACTTACGTAAGTAAATGTTGTGCAAGTGAACGGGGACGGGGTATTAGTCTATCTCCAATGTCAGGATCTGGTTTCAGCAAAACAAAGGCCAAAGAATGATAGGGTGTACATGACACAAATACCCGGAACTACAGAGTATCGGGAGGCCGAGTCATTCAAGGTGCCGCAGTTCGCTGTGAAGAACACTCCTCAGGAATTCGAATCCCCGAGTCGCCCAAGTGATATTTCTAGATTTGTTAGCATCCAAACTGTTCAACGTCTCAGACCTGCATCACTTTCGGCCTTCCTCCTATATCAAGCCGACACACACGATATAACCGAAATACTATTCAAATCGACGAAACCAAACTCACTCACTCACCATAATATGAAAGCCGCTACTCGCCAGTTCAGCCACGCCCCCGCATCTGCTTGATTTTAAGTAGTGTGTCTTCACAGTTTCATGCTAACGCTGGTCACTACATCCGGGTCTCTTTCATGTTAACCCTTGCGTTAGTCAAGCTTTCTGATTGGCTGAATGGTAATAGTGAACAGGAAGGTTATGTAACTGCGTCATAGATAACGTTCAATCGTTTCTATTGAACAGGGTAATCAGCATTCGTGACCAACTCGTGTCATTCGTGACTAACTCGTGTTATTCCGGGACAAGCCGAAAAGCGATTTTTGCGACCGGGTTCCGTCTTAGCGCAAACGGGCATGCACGCGCATTTTGATTGGTTTGTCGTATTTTCGCACATAACATTCATCGATAGGGGAACGAGTCTTCTTGCAGGTTACGGAAAGGGGCGAGTGGTGACGAATGGGTTATCAGGAGAGAGTTTGTGTGTATTTTGGCGAGTAAATTCAGAAGTTCACATATGAATGTACAGTAAAATACGTTTTGTAATGTAAGTAAAATACAAACTGTTGGACATAACGAGCTGGCTTGTTTTTTTGCCTAGCCATGTGCTGTATATTTTATCAAAATAAAATTGATGGTTATAACGAACTAAAATTTGAGACCGATATCACTGTAGTTTACTGTACCCATATTTATATCAATATCGCAAAAAATAAGCACAAACAAATAGAAAACAAACCAAAACACCCATACGTATTTCAATTATGGCAGGAAAGTACCGGAAATATCCGGCAAGTATCAATGGTGTATTGTACTGTACACACATCCTTGTTCAATAGAAGAGAACTCATACACGATAATGCCTTGATCGGAAAACAGGAATCGGATTTTTTTATTAAAATAATGAAATAATGATTATTTTGCTATCAGACATCCTTCTGCAAATATCAATTAGGAGATAAACCTACTGTATTTTGAAATTTGATGTAGTCCCACTTTAGAATAGATACCTCTTTATTATAATTGGGAACCGAGAGCTTTAGCGCGAGGTTCCAAATTATAATAAAGAGGTTTCTATTCTACAGTGGAACTACATCAAATTTCAAAACACAGTAGGTTTATCTCCATTCTACCATGACGGCAACAACGCTTTGAAAACGGCGCTCTCTTGCAACGCTTATAACACAGGTGCACAGGTCCGCGATCTTAGAACATTCAGAAAAGTGGTCACAGGTAGTTATATATGTAACAAATATTACTAAAGTTCAAGATTAAAAAACACCAAAGTCGTGAGTAGTTCATAATAAGTGTTCAAAACACATAGTTTTTCAAACGAAGTTGACAAATAACACTCCTTACTTAATCCAAAGAGAGATGTTTTAATTTCTTTCAAACTGTTCCACACTGTTGAACACTGTGGACTGGCTGTCGTTTCTCGGAAATTTGTGAGAGAGGTCATTTCTTGGAAATCGAACATGCCATCATTTCTATTGTAGGGGTGACGGGTAATAGAAAAAGGTTTTAAAATGCTAAACGAATATATTTCTACAGCAAACTTTATGAATTAACATTCTAATATACATTTAACATGTCTAAGAGTTATTAGTTAGATAGCAATTACCCCCAGTAAACAATAATAACATCAAAGTAAATGCCTCTCCACCCCGAACTTGGATGTGGCAGAACTTGACCTAAATCACGGTTACTCACACCTCACAGCTGTCAATGGCTGACAATCATGTGTTTACATTAACTTGATCTAGTAAAAAGAAGCAAGATGACAACCCCGATCTATGATGTGGTTGAACATTTAC